TAAGTAGTAGTCTGAATGCCAACTTTAAAGTTTTAATTTCTTTAAATTAATGACATCGATTTTAACCCGTTAAAAAAATTATCTCAATACTTCAGGCCATACATACTTTGTTTTCATGCGTTACTTTACTTTGTTCAATAACTTAGCATCAAAAAAGGGTTTTGAATTAAAAATTGTGTAGATTCAATTGTGATTAATTAATTACAGAGTTTGCAATTAACCCCATTAAAACATTTTTTAATCAGGTCCTACCTCTAAATTTTTAACTCATGATTTCAATAGTTTTTTTACATTGGGCCAGATCAGTTTTTGGAGTTTTTTTTTTTTTTTTCATAAATGAAATTATCAGAAAGTGTAACAAATCCACAAGTAAAGTAAAAAAGAGACGGAACCTTAAAAAGGGAAAATACTTTTTAACTGGAGTATTTTAGACGGTCCACACACAACAACATGGCCGCCGAAAAGACTTTCAGTCCAACTGCCTCCATTTTTCCTCATTCTTCTGAGAGAGCAGAGAGAAAGCAACGTGTTCTCTTTGTGTTCTGTCATCCATTACAAAGCGGGAACTAAACTGAGAAAAGGAGTTTATGAAAATAAGGTGATAAAATCCTCCGACTACTTGTTAGTCACTGAGAAAGACGAATTAAAAAGGATTAGGAGACAAAGCATTAGCGGGATTAAACCGATTTCTCTGATTTCAGCTCAAATCCGCAGCAAATAAGGTGAATAAAAAAAGATTGTTTGGAGATTATAGGGTTTATAACAATCCTGCCTCTGAGGTGTGGGGGGCAGCTGTAAAACCAGCATGAGCTCAATTGCCTTTATTTAACATGCTTGGAGTGAAAAAAAAAAAGAAGAAAAAAAAAGCCAGCGGCCTCCTGCTGCTGCTAACTGTGTTCAGAGTCTGACAATCAAACTAACAGTGTACAGTCTGTAACAGTGAGCCAAACTCAGTCTGACAAAACTGTAGAAGAAAGTAAATAAAAAAACAATACCGGGACCTGGAATGGTCACAATTTGAATTCAGGGTACAACAGAACAAAAACATCTACAATAAAAACGAAACAGGACAGAATATCTGCCACCTGGTTTCTAAGCATCACAGCAGTTAAATGTGAAGCAGGTGTTTACTTTCCACAAGGAGGGGATTTTTGGGGGGAAATATTTGGTTGCTGTGGAGACAGACAGTTATGGAGGGAGTGTTTGTGGCAGAGCTGTCTGAGTGACAGCCAGCTGTCCAGGGTAAAGGACGATAAACTGGCACTGACGTTCAGGTGCAACGCGGCCAAAACCAGCAGTGCCTCTCTGACCAGATTTTTAATAGACCTGGAATCCAAGGGGGAAATTTGTTTGGCACAAAGCGTCATGGTCGTTATCATAATTTTTATAGCTGTCAGAACAAGGTAGATGATGGGAGTGCAAGGTAATGTCTGTATTAAAAATATAATTTATGCCAGATGGTATCTTTAATTATTTAGTAACGAAAGTGAATTGTAATCTAAAGAACAGGGCTGAAGATTCAACATTATGAATGCAGAAAGCTTAGAGGGGGAAGAAAACTGAAGTTACACTTCAACCCTGACTGAGCTTTACCATCGTCCTCATGTTGTCTATATGATGTAGAAAACAGGATTAGAGATGGATTGATACAGTCTCCAATTAAAGTTAAAAACAAAACAAATCAACAGAATTGTGATAAAATGTCAAAGGAATATAAAAAACTATTTTATTTTTCAGACCATTTCCTCAATGTTTTTATGTCGTTGCTTTAAGGAATCACTCTGATCTGGCAACATCCTCTGTTTTCCAGGTTTTATTGGTCTGTGTGTTTTCATTGTTTTACTTCCTTCACATTTTATCCTCAAAAGCTTTTAACATGGATTTTACAGTTCTTATATTGAGGTTTGGCTGGTTTTGCTTTCGAAGCGGTTCTTTAATTTACAGGATGGGAAATTTGATTAGGCGTTAAAAGCAACATTTTGGTGATTTTAAATCAAAACATATCGTTCTAGGAAAGCCTGGCCTAGAATGATACTTCCCAATTCAGGTGCTCAAAACTTACTATCCTTATCGGTGCCATACCAAGACCTGACCAGCTAAATGTTACCAGATATCCAAACAGCTAAACAGAATGAATGCAGAACTCCACAAACTCTGGGATGACATCTTGTAGAATTTACTGCATCATTTTTTTCTGTGAAACTGTAACAGGATAAACAAAGAAATATATAAGTATAATTGCTGCGATGATGTCAAATCCCTGCATACACTATTTTCGTACACAGAGGTGGTCTTTAGTGAGCTTAGCAACAAACAAAGCTTGTGTCAAACATAAAAATGTATAATTTGCTTCCTCTTTGCTATTTCTACTGCTTTTTTGATAACTAACCAAGAAGGACCACTAGATGGCATAATTTAGCAAAAAAAAGACAATAACCGCAAAACAGTGAATGTAACACCAGTCACTCTGACTGTTTGAGGCTAAATATTTAGTTAGCAAGCTACATATATTTAGCCCAGAGTTAAAGTTTTAGTTTGGACCCAGATATTTAGCTTGCTAGCTAGATATTTAGTTTTAAGCTAAATATTTAGCTAGTGAGCTTGCTAATTGTTTAATTATGTAATTAGAAAGCTAAATATTTTGCTAGCTAATTACATTTTTCAGTGTGAAACTGTAACATTTGTAAATAAATGAATAACATGGTGAAAATATAATGACTTTGAAAACTGAACCACCTTTTTTTCTGTCATGACAGGCTAAATAACCCAAATTTTCGCTGTTAATTTTTGACTGTGTAACTTTACAAACAGCACATCCTGGAAGGTTCACCATGCTCATATAGAGCAACACAGAAACACACTGGACAAATAACCAGGAACCAACACACCCAGGCCTGAGGGTAAAGTAGAACTGCCTAAGTTAGCCCAAATTGCGTGGTTTTGCTCTGTGGGATCAGTCTGTAGTTACTGGAGAAAATTCTCCATGTATAGGGAGAACATCCAGGAAGACAACAGGCCTGAGTTAGAAACCAGGATCTACTATAAGGCAACAGAGTTACACCATGTCCCACTGTGTAGCCTCTGCAATTCCCCCATACACATGTATAAAAAAACTTGATCAACTAGTCCATAATGCTCAGTATGCACAGCTAGGCATATTGTGTGTGATTCAGAATGAGCCTTGCACTTTTCTTTCACCAATTAGCTGACTGCTCTGAACTGATCTAATGTTAACTGACACTGCAGCAGCACCTCAAACATTCCCAATAGTTTTCTCTTTCATAAATCACAAGGGCAATGACTCTTCCATTACCCATAATCACACTTGCCGCAACCACACAACATTAAAACGCTGCCATGTATCGATTGTGCAAGATGACAGCAATCCAATGCGTTGTCTTTTCAAGTGTCTCAAGTAGAACTAGATGGTTGCTCAAGTCAGCAGATTTAGTTCCACATGCATGCTGTCAGCGTTCAGTTTTCCTGCCTTTTGTTGGCAGTAACGTTGTGTTTTAACCCATTTTCACATGTGAACCACCAACCTCTCCTCTGCCAGGCATCTAACATTGAGCCTGGGCTCTTCCTTGCCACATTATTAGCTTTGACCTTTGCGTGTCAGCTCCAGTGTTGATCCTGAGCCAGAAGAGCCCTGCCAGAAGTTGGGCCAAAAATAAAGGGCTAACACATGTTGCATTTTATGAACAGTCCAGCCAAGGATTGTACATATACAGTCATATAATCAGACCAGTGGAGAATGTAAAACCCAGAGTAGGCCCTCAAACAAAAACCCCCCTTTCCTCACTTAATCATTCCTGTAATGTATGTTACTTCATCCCTTTAATGCTCACGTATTCCTGCTGCCTTCCTAACCTCCCGTCTGGGAGAATCTAACTACATCCCCTCATCCGTACCTTTAATTTGACCTTTCTCACTGTCATGACTGTACTGAACCTTCTGACCACCATATGAGCTGACCTCTTTCGCTCAATGATAACGCAGACTGTCATTCCACGTAAAACCAATGTTTTACTCTCCATCCTCAGTAGCTGCGATTCCATTGACGATAACATTGTTCACATTGGAATTACGATAATAAATTTGCTTAAAAGGAAACACGGCAATTTTGAAAGATTGGAAGGAAGGAAGCGCTAGGAAGAGGTGGGTTTTCAGCTGATCGAATCCGGCCATGTAAAATTTTAAGTTGTTTAATTAATTGTTGTTCTGGCAAAACTTATATGAGCACAGAATGCAATAAAATGCAGTACACCAATTTATCCAGAGTACACTGATAAATTGTACACCGATAAATTGATGTACTCTTAGATTAAGAGTAAGCCTTTTAGTGATTATCTCAGTACTTTATTGCATTTTGTGCTCAGAAAGCTTTGCTGGCGATAAATTGATGCCATTTTATCAGGGTGATAAATTGTCCCCAATTTTCTATAATTTGGGAGGTCATGATCAGCTGATAATTAGATGTGTAGCCCATCTTTTCCACTGATCCTATCTACCTCGGCAAATGTCTAACTATCAGCCACTTTCCTTTTAAGCACTGCTGTGAGAGAGGTTTGACTGACTTATCAATTTTTTGGTCTGAAATGTTGCTAAAAATAGTTTGGTCACTATTATTATTGGGCAAAACTGGAATCGGCAGGTCAGGCTTTTTTAAAGATCGGCAATTGGCCATTGAACAACATCCCTAATAATCACTTAAAATTTACTTGAACTTATTTCCTTTTTTTCCCATTTCAGGCTTTTTTTTCAGCTATGTTGACAACAATGTCAATCTGAAGAAGTAGACATTAGCGTCTGACGACTCTGTGGTGAAAAGTGTTGGATGGCAGTCCTGATGTTCCTCATTTACACCAAACTGGGGGATTCTGCGTGTCATAAGCCACTCAGTGTTTCCCAGAGACTCTGGATGAACGGGACTGCATCAAAGTCTGACCTAGCTGCAGAGCGCGGATCAGAAGGATGTTGAATTTATTGTTATCACTCACTCTGCGCTTCCTTTCTCCACTTCCTTTTTCCTCCCGAAACAGCAGCACTGCGAAGCAAAAGCCCTCGTTTATAAGTCTGTGTGCTTTTGTTTATGTTGCACATCAAATTATTGCCTTTTACTGACCTGATTTTTTAAAGCTAAACTAAGATATCAAAGCTGATTTGTTCTGAATTCAAATTGCTCAACACAATGGCCCTGCCCTAATGGCTCTTTAAACTTGTGTATTGTGTGTGAGTGTGTGTGTGTGTGTTTATTTTTTTAAACCCAGAAAAAGGCCTACCAATTCCGTTCCATCTTTAGCTCCATTGTGGGTGAAAACCTGTTATCTGTCTCAGCCTGTACATGGCTGCCTGTACAGTATTCCTGTGTCCATGTGCCGGATTGACAGGTCTCACCAAGACATTAACGAGTTGACTGTAAAGTTGTTTTAATAGACTTTAGTTTTTTTCCTGGTTCTTTTTCTTCCTCATTCAGCCAAACAGAAGCTGGACGACATAAAATTCTTTAAACTTTTTTTTAAATTCTCGATTGTAAATTAAAAGATAGCTAAAAGGTTTCAGTTTCGTTTCATAGACTTTCCATTTTTAAATTGACGGCTTAATGAGACTGCATGTTGGGGATTGAACTTTCTATTTATCTATTCATTATAACGTCAACGGGAAGCTTAGAGAGTTCAGATTTTTGTGCAAACTCCCATCTTTGTCTTCTTTGGATTGGAAGTGTCGGGCTGTTTATTTTATTTCATTTTTTTCTTTTCATTAAATTATTTACATTTCTGCATAGTGTCCAGTGGGTTCACATTGACACACCAGGAGACATGGGGACACACTCAGTATACACACCATTTAGAGCCCATCCACATGCTGCTCTGGAGCGTTGTCACCCTGACAGATCAAAGGTCTGTTCCATCAAGACAAAAACAGACTTTAATTAAAAAGGCTGGAGTTATTATGTTTGGTATAGTCTGCCAATGACAGGATTCTACAGTTACTTATTTGATGGTGCAAAGGAGGATGTTACCTAAAATCAAGAAAATTATGGACAACCCTGACCATCGTGATTGTCATCAATAAAGTATTTTTGAGTTTGAATTTTTAATACCATCCAGCATCTTGATTTAGGTCAAAGTTGTCCATTTTGGTTTCATCTGTCCAGACGGACTCATGTCTTTGTTGTTCCGTCAATGCCACAGTTTGGATTTCTCATGGTTCTCTTTTAACAACTGCTTTCCTGATCCTATCAGTCAATCACATTTGTGTGCACATACCAAAGAGCTTTACATCATAGAAACAAGAAGTCATAAAACAGAATGTGTCAAAGTCGACAATTGAGAAACCAGTGACAGCTATTACATTTTGATGAGAGCCATCATCAAGATCATCAATACACGTCAAATATATTGATCAAAGTTCCAATTATTATGGTTCAAAAGCAACTCTAAACAGCAGGATTTTTAGTCCAGATTTAGATTTTAGTGAGAACGCCAGCAGCAGCTGTAGCAACAGAATATTTTAATACACTCTCTCCCTCTCTTCTCACCAGAAATGCTGGAAAAATTAAAGGTCATGCTGCTAGCATATAGCCACAACTCATAGGCAGAACTGACAGCATTGCCTACCACAAACAATGACCCGGGCGGAACACGGTACGCTAAATAATAAAACATAATTTATTGAAGTTTTGAGACAGATCAACTTTCCTTGAGGAATTTTAATAATCGAGTTACTGGAATCATTCGAGGAATCGTTACAGCCCTAGTAGATGCAGTAATCAATGTGACTAAAGACAAACACATGGGTGAGTTTATCTAGATCTTACCGGGACGTTAGTTCAGGTGATAGAAGGCTGATTTTGTAACTGTCTTTGTGTTTCTGAAGGTTCTTATGCTAATGCTTATGAAGGTTTTATGCCCATTCTCATAAAAGCCACTTACACTCTTCAATATTAATATCAACTTCAACTTTGTAGCGCATTTTCTGAGTAGCACCTGCCTGTTACCTAACCCTTATTATTCTCTTATTGCTTCTGAATTTGGCATAACTGACAGGAATATTTCATTCCAGTGTTTTTTAGGGGTTATTAACATTCTTAATTAATCGGTAGGATTACTATTTTTTGCCATTATACAGTATTTTCTCAATCAATCCTAAAAGGTCACATCAAATCAACAGGAAGTCTGTACTTTAGAACATGAAAGACCATTTTTGTGGTCTGCCCTTCCAGCCGGCAGCTGCCCCAGTGATCTACCGACTTGGCTTTGGAAGTGAGCTGTTTTTAGATGGAGGGCGTGTTGCTGGATTTACGCAGCTAATGGCAAACCAGCTGCTGCCATGAATAGCTGAATGAGCCCTCGTAGTTAATATCTCCTTCCAGATCAGTGTCACAAGAAATGTTACCAGTGAAGGTTAATATCATACAAAGGGAGTATGACTTTAACTTCTGCTCCTGCTAACACACACAAACACACACACACACACACATGCATAAATACACCCATTCATCAGCTTCCTCTACCACTAAGCTGGCAAAATTCCCTTTCCCTTCCAAACCCTATCTGCCATTTAAGTATCGTGTGTGTGTGTTTGTGTTGTGTGGGAGCGTCTTCCTGTGGAGGAACAGTCCCTTGCCACATATAGTCACATTTCCACACCCTGCTCCATCCACACCCCTCCTCATTGTCCCATTCACACTGTGATAGTGAAGCAGACGCACTTACAGGTTAGTGTGTCAGCAGAACCTGCTGTTACTGGAAGTTAGACCGTGGGTGGAGCTTGATGATAAAGGGTGGAGGAGCTGTGGGCATAGAAGCCATTGATGAGAATCTGGGGGAAAAAAGAAGATTAATATCTGCCATTAATGACCAGCAATAGTGGAGCACTCCCTATTTAACCCAGAGAAGGATTATTTTAGTTTATTAGTAATATTAGAAATTGTAGAGTGCGCCCTATTTAGATCAATATTATACAGCCCAGAAATTGAATCAGAATTAGAATTAGAATAACTATGAACTTGGAATCCAGAAATACTTAACAGGAACAGTCACTGCTTAGTTTATATTACTTTTAACCCAGAAAAGGATTTAGCTCTCTTTCTTCTTTTTGTCTTTCCTATGGTTTGTTATTTTGTTTGTATTTCCTTTTAATTAATGGAAAGCACTTCGAATTGCCTTGTTGCTGAAAATGTGCTGTATAAATAAAATTACCTTACCTTAATGTTGAAGTCATGAAGTTAATAATACCATTGAAAATGATTGTCATGTCATGCTAACAAACTGTTAGCATAGCATTACACTTATGCTAACATCATTCAATAACTAACAGTCACTTATTGCCGAATGATAGACATTAGCTAATAACTGAAGAAGGAATACATTTATGGTTTTCCAAATATTTTACAAATAAAACAGGGGTTTGTTTTACACTAATGCCCCTAAATGAAATCTAGCAATAATTTGGTTTTTAAAGTAATTAAATTACTAAATAGAATCCACCTGTGTAGATTCTGATCTCAGCAGTGGCAGCCACCGATAACTACAACATTCGTTTTGCTAACACAGTGCTACCCCAACATGGTGTTTGGTGGAAGCCAGCCTTTTCACTCATGACTTCAGTTTTGTAATTAAGCAGAGAGCGTCACAGGAAGGAAATAGCAAGGTCAAAAGTCTTCACCCACTTCAAAATAAGAGCATGGATATAAAGATTAAACTACTTGAACAATTGTCAGCAGTCGGTAACTAAAACCTCAACACAGACGTTGAACTTTAATCAACTGAAAATTTGCAAAACAGTCAAATAAAGTAGCGTGTTAGATTTTTTTTCTGGAAAAAATCATTTAGCAGAAGCTAAAACAAAGTCAAAGGGTACACACTTTTATACTGTGTTTTATAAAAGTTGGCTGAACATGTGAAAACCAGCATCAGCAGCAGTAAAGAGAGTTTACTTTTATTAAATCGATTTTTTTTATCATCATCCTGCTTCCTTCAAAATTCTGTTAGAACCCTTGCAAATCGTCTGGACTTGCTTGATGCAGAAGAGATTTCTCATGTCAGACATGGAATCGAGTAAGAAGATCTTCAAAGACAGAAAAAAAGATCTGTTTGGATTAATAGCTTTAAAACTAGATAAAAGAGTCACAGAGACATATTAGCGTTCCTGGAATCAGTGGCCAGAGGGAACTGCAGTGTGTGTGTGCGTGTGTGTGTGTGTGTGTGGGTTTGGGGGTATTGTTTTACATGTGTGCGGGTGAATCCCTTCATAAATCTCGGCTGATAAGTGGAGATACCGTGTTTAATGCATTATGACAGCTATGGATCCGGCCGCTTTCCAAAAAAATTATGCATGTAAAAATCAATTAAGAGCCTTTAAATCCAGCATGCAGCAACGTCGGTACAAACGACGTTAACAGCAATCAGTGTGATAATCAAAGCTGCGCCTGAACTTCCTGCGAGCGCAACAGCTTCCTCATCATTCCTCTGGGGCGCGTAGCCACGGTGACTGATGGAGAAAGAGCTGATGCAAAGACAGCGCAGCAGCCGGACGCCGAGACGCTCGTTCTTCTTTGCTCGCCCTCCTGTCAGCTTAATATAATTATCTGAACTGACGATGTCGGAGTAAAAAGCAGAACCCCTGGAAATGATTCTCAGTTCACTTAATCTTGTGCCTTTAACTCTACACTTGGTGCCTTTCCTCTCTTTCTGCCTGGGCAGCGATTTATTTCATTCAGAACTGTTCCTCTCAGGAACAAACTGCGTGAAAGTAAAAACAAAATCAGTTGTAAAAAGAAGATTTGATAGGGATTTATCATGTTTCATTAGCTTTGGGATTGTAAAAGAACTAAAATACTACTTTATGTCCCAGTTTTAATCCCATTAGGCGAAGGAAGGAATCCTTTTGCACGGCTGGAACAGTAGTTAGTGATGTGGCCCCACAGCCTGGGGGCCCTATGGACTCCAGTTTACCCCAAGTTGCCCTGAGTTGTGTCTGTACCTCAGTGGTTGCTTGGTTACCACCCTACTTCCTGCCTGCTGGTGGTTGAAAGTGACCTCCAGCACGGTGGACCTTAGCAGTTAAACAGCAGGTTCATTTACTTCACACTGAAGATGAGCATTTCATTGCAACAGGTTTACAATAAGATGAGGAGGAATGTTTTACAGCAGGTGAAGTAGATCTAAATAATTACTTGAAATCCAAACATTCATTTTAGTTTATTTTTAACATTTATCTTAAAATAATAAATGTTTTGAAAAATATGAAATCATGTAACTGAAAAAAAACTTCTTATCTTTTAATAACCATTCTTTTTCTGAGTTTCTGCTTTGTCTTTCAGAGAACAGAAGACAAAATGTAATAAGTCTTGTAAAAAAAAAAAGCAGTAAGGTGGACTAAGACGTTCACACAGTCACAGTAATTAAAGGTTTTCCTGAAATAGTGAGTTGTTTCTCTGCCATTAGCACATTGAGCAGCATGTACATGAGGATGATTGGCAGCACTACGGCGTCCTCCTGTTTGGTTGGGAGCAGTGCACTTCTTTAGACGACTATATTAGCTCATGGAGGAGGTGGAGGAGATTGATCTTTACACAGATTGTCTCATTTTAAACTGTCACTTCATGGTGATAGCTTTAACAAATATGTAACAAATATGTACACTGCAGCTTTAACTGTAGAAGTTTACTTTGGCGAGAAAGCCATATTGCTGTCTGCAATGAAGGTGGACAAAGTACAAAGCAGAGCGAGCAAGACACAGAGAAGAGCCAGAATGGCTGCATTCAAGGACACGTCCTGTTTGTACTTTTTGTCACTCGTCCAAATTTCTGCTCTCTGTACTTTAAGTGGAAATAAATCAACCAACTCGACTGTGTGCTGAGGAGAATCAGCTATGTTTGTGTGTGAGTGTATGAAATAAACTGGGAAAAGACTCAACCTTTGAGCAAGGCACAAACAGCCTTCATCTCCTTCCTGGTCTTTCTCAACCTGCAGACCCCAGTCAATTAGCAGAAGCAGCAAACCACCTGAGCTAAACCTGAAGGATGTTCTCAGTGGCATCATTAGTCATACGTTTGCCTCAACTTGTGCCCTCCTCTTGCTAATTTGGCCAGCTTTTTTGTTTTTCTTGGAGCATCTGTCAAAAAGAATCATTTCTATTTTCCCTCTTGCCAATCCATTCATCAGTCTCTCCTGTTTATCCTCCCATTTCGCCCACACCGGTCCTCCATTTCTATGTTTTCATTTAACTCTGCAGCCGAGTGTATCGTGGTGAATGCTAATAGGTTCCCACGCTCACAAGGTACCATACACTGAAAAGTAAATGACTACGTGTGTGTAAGTGTGTGCTCGTGTTTGCGTGTGTGTGAGTCGCACTGGCCGGTCAGTCCACAGTTCCATTAGCCAAATGGAGTTTCTATTAAATTAGAACCCCTCCCTTTACTCTATCTCTGTCTGTCTTTCTCTCTCTCCCTCTCCCTCAATCACATTAGTGCTCTTATCCCATTTGTAGAGGCAGCACAGGCAGAGAGGAGGAAGTTGTGGGTGCAGCGAGGGGTGGAGTTATGATCTGGAAGTACATCAGAAGAAGGACGAGCCCTTGAACAGGGAGATCCACATGGCAGGAAGCTGACAAGCTAGAGTATGTAGATTACATACTCGTACCACAAGTTTGGTAGAGTTGATATGGATAACAAACTTCACATTTCGGTTAGTGCAGCTGTTTATAATGGAATAGGTCCATTAACAACTCTGACAGAACAGGCAGCCTTAAAGACAGAAGAAGATAGAGGACACTGAATGTGTCTTTGCATGCTTGTTTGTCTAGAGAACATTTTAATGAGCTGCATTTGTTGATGTCTACAACCACAAGAGAAGATGGGTCTATATGAAAATTTTACCATACAGTTTTAGAAATAAATCTGCAACATATTATTGAACCTTGGATTGTCCTCATGGAACCAGATAGCCTGATTAAAAACCATCCTCTTGTTCTACGCTTTGATTTTTACAAAGGGTCTTTAGGAGGCATGAATGATTGGATTAGGGCTGCACTTTGCCTAAAAACGTTCCACTGATGCTATAAAGAAAATTTAGATTTTTCCTCAGAATTAACCATCCTGCAGTCTTAAGAGACAGGGACAATTGTACGCTACTAGCACTAACCCCGCATGCGTTTTCACAAGGTTTTTTTTGTGCAGTTTTGGGAACTGACGGTCTGACAGAAAAAAAAAAAAAAAAAATTCCCCACTGTCAGACTGTGGCCTCTGCCACACTAATGCAGAATGTTGCACTAAGACCACAAAAGGGTTAAATGAAAGACAAAGAACATGCAGTCATTGAGTTTTTTCAAAAACACATTTGCCCATATTTGTATGATTTTAGGTTGACAAAAAGATTGAGATGGTAGTTGCTGGTGTCATATAATATCTACTTTTTGGTAGCATCAGCTTACCTTATCAACAGTAAAAGATACTCCAGGCTCACTGGTTAGTTCATGTAAAAGGTCATAAGGCTTTGAGCACTATTTCCTTGGGGCAGACAGATGTACAGTGAAGTGGAAAGGGCATTCCTGGGAGAATATGAAATATCATCTTTCAAAGTGTTTATAGGGAAGCACAAAACACACTAAATAACTTGAGAAATGCTGCTGCTCCTGTGATGTCTGGCACCATCAAAGAACGGCGTCCTTAACTCTGTCAGGATCTGCTTGATCTGTTGTTTTGTGATGAAAAACGGCAAAAAAAAAAAAAAAAAAAAAAAAGTTACATTCCTCAGATTTATGGATGAGCCTGGGGTAAAATTGGCTCTGATATCCAAGGATTCTTGGAGGTTAAGATTGCAGCCCAGAGCAATGCCAGAGCTGTTGGGAGAATGTTTGTACTGAATCCAAGTAAATATGACAGTAACATTCCTCCATATGCTCTGACCTTCATGTCCTGTTCCAGTCCATCAGAAATAATTCCAAACTTTATCACACCTTTTCACTCAGGCTGTGTGTAAGACATTATTAAACTGCATACAGATTTTTCAAATATTTATTGAGAAAACTGTCCTATAGGAATTGATCAGGTGTCATATCTCATGTTATTTGGATGCTGTGCTCCTGTTATTTCCCTGTACGGATTATTTATTTTCCTTCATTCATGTTTGTTCCCTCAGTTGGTTCAGTTATTCTTTTCATATGATGAGTCTTGTCATGTTGTACTCCTATTCTGTTCTTAGTTTTATTTATTCTTTGTGATGGTTACATTTCCTAGTTGCCATGTTTGTCCTCCCTTGCTGCCTCGTGTCAGTCTGCTGTTCACTTCCTTCCCCAGCTGCTGGTGGTTTACCTCATTAAAGCTCACTCATTCCTTCCCAGATGCAGTCAGGTTCCCTATTGGTTCCTCCCTCTCTCAATCCTCAGTCCACCTCTGGTCTAATTTCACAGCTGCAGTCTCCATTTAGTATCATCTTCTCAGTATTTGAGCTCCTCATTGTCGGTGCCGGATTCTACTCTTGTTTACCTCATGGTCTCCTGCGTCCTGTTAATCATAAGTTAAACTTGCCATCATCTCTTCGCCTGGCTGTCTGCATTTTGGTCCACTTT